TTAGTAGCTGGTCTCTGGATGCCGGCAACAACCACCCAAGATGGCGCAGTCTCCGCTGCTTAGCTGGCGCACCACGAGAGGCTTCAGCCGCAGTCTCCAACCGTCCTTTTTTTCCTGGGGGTTCTCGGTCTTTCCTAGCTGCAGACAGTCTCTCAGCTGAAAATCCTCTGCCTATTCGGGCTGCATGTTACCCGTTTCAGCTGCTCACCCTTATCTGCTCCAGGACAAGGCACAGGACACGTCCGTTTATACCGCCGCCATTTTCCCCCCCCTGTCAGTCCATTTTCATTTAGGGTGTAATGATATATGAAGACTTGCTAGAACCATTTTTTATTTTTTTCTTATTGCTCTCTGTCTCCATTGTTTCTTTGCCTTGTGTTTCTGTCTGCCTTTTTTAGTTTTGTTAGTTCATTTATAATTTTTTCTCTTTTATGTTTTTGGTTAATCCTCACCTGAGGATATTTTTCCATTGATTTTTTTTTTTTTTTTTTGAGAGAGAAAATGGAAGGAAGGTGGAGAGGGAGAGAGGAAAAAAAACATTGATGTGAGAGAAACACATTGGCTGGTTGCCTCCTGCAAGTGCCCCAACTGGGTCTGGGGATCAAGCCTGCAACCAAGGTACTTGCCCTTGACAAGAATCAAACCCAAGACCCTTCAGTCCACAGGCTGACACTACTGAGAAAAACTGAAAAACTGGCTAGGGCTGGGTTTTTTTTTTTTTTATATTATCTGTCTCACCTACAGATTTTTTGTTTTGTGGTTACCATTAACTTATGTGAAAAATTCTTCATACTTACACTAGTCCTTTTTCTTCTGATTGTATCTCATCTTTATTCACTTATCAAGTTCAGTCTTTTTTTTTCCTTCCCTTTTCTATTTTTGTTGTCATAAAGTATGGCTTTTTATGCCGTGCATTTGTTTAGAAATTTCAGAAGTTATACTTTTTTTAAAAAAAATTATTATCCCTCTTTAACCTTCATGCTATCGTTAAGTATTTAATACTCTATTCTGAAAAATTTTGCATTTTCCTGCTTCTGTCAGCAGAAAGTTTTGTATACTTTTGTCTTTTTCTTTCAAGCAAAGAGCTCCTATCAATATTTCTTGTAATGCAGGTATTGTGGCAATAAAAATCCCTCAGCTCTTATTTTATGGGGAAATTTTTATTTCTCCTTCATATCAAAAGGATAACTTTGCTGGATATATTATTTTTGGATGGTGATTTTCCTCTTTCAATAGTTTGAATATTTAATTCCACTCTCTCCTGGATTGTAAATTTTTTTTCTGTAATGGGGTTTCCTTTGTAGGTTACAGTCTCCCTCTCACCCCCTGGCTGCTTTGAAATTTTTTTCTTTATCATTAACTTTTGATATTTTTTATATGATGTGTCTTGAAAAAAGTCTTTTGTATTGAGAAAAATAGGTTTTCTGTTAGCTTTTTGGATTCAAGAATCCATCTCTTCCCTTTGGTTTGGGAAGTTCTTATTGACTATTTGTTTGTATGACTATTTAACTCTGTTCCCTACTCCCTCTCTTCTGGTATACCCTTATGCTTATGTTGCTCTTTGTAATGGAGTAAGATTGTTCTCATAGGTAGAGTTCCTTTATTATTTTATAAACCCTTAGTTCACTTTCTTTATCCGCCTGGGTCATATCCAAGTTCCTACTTTTAAAAAGTTACTGCTTAGTTTACTATTAAATAGAATGCTAGAATCATATTGGGAGGACTCAGTTATTTTAGGAATGAATCGAGACAATAAGGGATGAAATCCTGCCCAGAGAGGACAAATGAAACTTGTGTAAGATTTGAAAGTACTAGTACTATTTACAGTATTTCTCATGTTGTCTTCCTACGGGATAAAACAGAGCATCTCTCAAAAGTCCTTCATGTTTCTGTTCCACTGGTTCTTGAAAAGTCTGTCCTGGAGCTGGAAACAGTTCCTACTTGATCTTGCAAATGCAGGAGGACCCAGCACATCTAATTCTAGAAAGAAGAGCCGTGATTGATCTTTGAATTCACTAATTCTCTTTTCCACCTGGGTTGCTGTTTCAAATGTTCTTCAATATGTTCCTCATCTTATTTATTGAGTTTTCAGCTCCAGAATTTTTGTTTGGTTCCTTCTATACTTACAATCTCTTTGGTAAAATACTGCATTTGTTCATTAGTTTTCTTCCTGAGTTCAATGAACTTTTCTCTAAGTTCTGTTTTTATCTCATCGAGCATCTTCATAACTGCAATCTTAAACTTTGTCATTTTAGTCACAGTTTTCTAGGAGTTTGAGTTTGGTTTCTTGAGACTTTTCTTTCTGTGCTTCCGTGTTACCTTGCTTGTTCATGTTATTTGATGGATTGTTTCTCTGCGTGGACAATCGAGGTAGTGGCCCATTTTCTTCATTAGATATTCTTTTGCTGTCAGTAATTCAGCAGGTTAATATATAGGGTACTTTGTTTTGTTTTCCAGTAGATAGTGTTAGCACATATTTTGTTTTCTCTTACCTGCACTATTTGAGCCTCACTTCTAAGGTAAATGCTGTGTATCCAGTGGGAAAGTAGGTGTTCCTTGTGTCACCAGTTCACCTTAGTTATAGGGCACTACCACCATGATGGGAGTTTGTGGTAGGAGGTGGAAAAGGGGTTTATGAGCTCTCACTAATGGTGCTGGCCAGGCTGTGTTTTTGAAGGCATCTTTTCTGCCTCTATTGAGCTCTGCCAAGATGAGTAGGGTGGAGGTGGGGGTGGGGGTGCGGGGTGAGTTCATTATTTTACAGCCTCATTGAACTATTTAAGGCATCTCAGTTTTCTCTATCTGGCTCTGCTAGGGTGGTAAGGTTGAACTCCTGCAGGTCCACCCTCCTGCCAGCAGTCGCCATGGGCACAATGCCCTGTCCAGGTCTTCTCAGCTTTCTTTATTGGGCTCTGTCAGGATGGGTTAGGCAATATAAGCATGTGTGGCTCCACCCCTCTTCCAGTAGTGGCTATCATAGTTGCTCTTGTTTGAAGCTTCCCAGCCATCTCTGCAAGGGGTCTGCTGTAACGGGGAGAGAGAAAAGGTGATGCCTTTTCTTGGGAGACCACTGCTTCTGTCTCTCTTACACTCCAGGCTCTAGTGTGAGTCCTGCATCCAGTCCTCCACTATTGCCCTCACTGGAGCCTCAGTGCGTGCTGGGCTGCATCTGCAGCAACCTCCCCTTCCTTCCCTGTCCACCCCTCCTGCTCATTCAAATCTTCCCACCTTCAGATGTTCTGACAGGTGGCTTTCAGGTCAGGTAGCTTTGTGTGTTGAGCAGGGGGTCCTTTGTTGAGTTATAATTGTCTAACTTGTAATTTTAAGAAGAGAATAAAGGAGTCTTCTCACTCCACCATGATGCTGACATCACCCTCGGAGTTATTGTGGTTTTTATCTAAAAGCAGCTTTTATTATTCTTATCTCACTTCTGAAAATTAAAAAAATGCTTTTTTATCATAAAGTAGTACATATTTTCTATAAAAATCCTATATAATAAAAGGGTAATATGCAAAAAGACCAAATGGCAGAACTGAACAACCAATCAAAGTGTGATATGCTAATGATATGCTAAGGTGCTCAACTGCTTCTATGATGTGCACTGACCACCAGGGGGCAGACAGTCAACTGGTTGACCAGTCGCTATGATGTGCACTGATCACCAGGAGGCAGATGCTCTGACTGGTAGGTTAGCTTACTGCTGGGCTCCGGCTGATTGGGACTGAGCAAGATGGGCCAGATATGCCCTGGAGCCCTCCCGAGGCCCCTCCCCGGGAGATTGTGCACCGGTGGGGTCCCTCAACCTGGCCTGCACCCTCTCACAATCTGGGACCTTTTGGGGGATGTCGGAGAGCCAGTTGTTTGTCTTGTTGGTGTTGACTTGTATAAGTTCTTTATATATAAACAAATCGGAGTTTTTAAGTCATTCTTCTCTTTTAGAAAGGAGGACATTTGCTCTGATTTCTCAGAACAGTCTCCTTTGTGAAGTACTGTATATTTTTATATACCTAGTGATTATTTTTCCAATTTATTCATATTTAGAAGGGATGGTTTATGCTTACTGTGTTGGAATTTGAGAAGGATTCTGTTGGAAATTGTGTAAGCCCCTTGCCAATTATTTTGTCATAGTATATTTGTTAAATAAGCAGTCCCCATGACCTGGGGTCATAGGAACAGACTGCTGGTGTGATGGCTCCTGGCTGGGCGGGCAGGCTCCTCCTTTGTTGAGGGTTTCATTCTCTTCTCGAGGAGCCATGGGAGACCCAGAGCTCCAGGTGTCACTGTAACTCCACTCCTGGGCTGGTGGAGTTTGTTAGTGAGTCAAGTCACTGCTTTTCCCTCTCATATTTGTAATACTTCATGTCAGATGAGTTCCATGTTGCTTGGAACAAATCCCCTTCATAGCATCCGTTTCCCATAATTCCTCTGCTTTGATTAGAAATTGCCGCTTCACCAATGAAACCGAGGATCGACATTCAGATGGCTGGCTGCATGTTTGTGGCATTGATAGAAATCTGTTATGCTAGTGTTTGTATTTGATCAACTACCTCAGTTCTCAGTTGTTATTGCCGAATTTTCCCCTGGCTCTGCTGTTTTGGGCTTCCAGGTTCCCCAGATTTCTGGAAATGCTCTCCACTTGCTCCCTCCGAGGGCTCCTCCTTGGCTGTGTTCAGTTGCAGACTAGTAGGTCCCTCTTTTGACCTAATCCTACCTGTGCCCGCGTAACAGAAATCCCTCAGTATCTGGATACTGGTGGCATCCTTCTCTGTTTAGTAGAAAATGATTTAAAATTAAAAAACTTCCCTAATTGTATATTTCTTAGGTCATGCCAGTAAGTTTTGGGGAGGGAAGAATTTAAATATATGGACTCAAATGTATGCCATCTTCTCTTTTGGTCCAAGAGATCAATGAATTTATCTGCATTAAGTGCTTTCAGGAAGTCTGAGTGTATTGTGTCTTCTGCTTTTCCTTATCTACCAGATGTTTCTGTTTTGTAATAGATGATTCAACACGTGTTCCTCTTGGAGAAAACAAGGACTACATTAATGCTAGTTATATTAGGATAACCAATTCTGGAGAAGAGTATTTCTATATTGCTACCCAAGGGCCACTGCCAACTACCACAGATGACTTTTGGCAAATGATTTTGGAAAATAACTCTAATGTTATTGTCATGATAACCAGAGAGATAGAAGCTGGAGTTCCCAAATGCCATCGCTACTGGCCCATTTCTACGAAGAAGCCTTTGGAGCTGAAACACTGTCGCGTCTTCCTGGAGGACTACCAGATACTTCCGTATTTCACCATTCGAATATTTCAAGTTGTGAGGAAGTCTGTAAGTTTTTAAAAATCAGTATCAGATACATATTTCATTATATAAGTATGCATGTCAGGATGAGAAGTTAGGCATAGGGTAGCGTATAGACCAGGATACTTTTTAAATAACTTAGTTTTACTTCTCTCTGGCATTAGAAACTAAGACCTCACCACTTCCACTTGTGCTTAATCAAACTCTGGCTGGCGAGAGGAAGGGATGGAAGGGGGGAATGGAGTGAGAGAGTGAGTATTGGAAGTTGCCTAATCCTGGGATGTACTTGGGCTGCTTCTGCCAAGTGTGACAGATGTGTATTGAGTCTTTAAGGTATGTTAGTTATGTGAAGGCATGTTAGGAATGTGTCAGGCACCCTTACAGAGTGGTGGAGAGTTTGGTGTGCTCAGTGGTAATGTTGCGATCCATGTGGAGGGTTTGGGAGCTTTGGAGGGAAGTACTTAGCATTACTTGTGGTTTTGGGAAGGTTTGTTGGAGGCAGTGGCATCTGAATTGAGAATTACCCAAATGAGAAAGATGGAAAGAGGGCGTAGATTATCAAGATATAAAATGGAACACGGTATATATAAAGAAATATAAGTAGTTAAATGTTTCTGGAACATAAAATTGCAGTGCCAGGAAGTAATGAGAGATGAGATGAGGTTATAGAAAGTAAGCAGGGGCAAACCAGAACATGAAATTTCTTGGATTTTAGTGAAGGAGCCAAACTTTATTATGAAGATAATTGAGAGACATTGAAGAATTTTAGTAAGAAAGTGCCATTGTCATCTAGGGAAGTTGGCATTGAGATGGAAAGCAGAGACTTTGGTGTTTTTTAGATAAAATTGGCAGACTTATATGTGACTTATGACTTTTGACTTATAAGTGACAGAAAGAGTGGTCAAAAGTATGCTATGTAATATGGTAGCCACATGTGGCTATTTAAGTTTAAGTTATTTAAACTTACATAAAATAACAAATTTATTTTTCACCTGCAGCAGTCCCATGTTACCAGAGGCTACCATATTGGACAGCACAGATATAGAACATCTGCGTCATAGAAAGTTTTGTTGGGAAGTGTTGTCTGGAGTAATTCACAGATTTCTTGCTCTGATAGACTCAGAAAATAGAAAAGCAGTGATTTATAGGAGGAAGTGATGAGTTAACTTCTCTAAGTGGATTTGATTAGCAAGTACTGATACGTGTGTTCCACAGGAATGAATGGGATGGGAGTTAAACAGGAAGCTTGAAAAAACGGGATGATATTTGGAGTCATCACCAAAGAAGTTGACTTGATTAGAGCACAATGACTAGGAAAAGGGTTTCTGGAGGTGCTGAGGTTGGAACCTATACATTTTTAATTGCAATAAAATAGGCAACTATGTGATTATTTTCTCCCCGATAGCCAGACTATGGGATTTCTGTTCACTGGTTATGGGACTGGCCCAGGGTAATCTGGCAAGATTCAAATGATAAAGGGAGTTGACAGTTTGTAAGAGAATGATTCTGATAATTAGTCATGAAGTCTTAATTTAAGGAGATGAATGGAATCGGGCCAGTCAACTAGGAGTACGTGGAGGACACAAGGGACAGGAGAGTGCATTTGGTTGCATTGAAGTGACGCACAAATGAGGTGCTAGCATATAGGCTTCTGGTCAGACAGTGGCGGTGGATTTTAAGAACTGGAAGCTTTTTGATCCCTGACATTGCAGGTGGTGCTCCTCACTGTGAGGACCAGGAGGAAGGAGTCTCTCCTCTGCAAGAGAGAAGTAAAGGTGCTGTGATTCAGAATGTTGGTGGCCCTGTGGGGACCCTGACTGTGCCCTGGATGGTGTCAGAACCTGTGGTAGGGAGAAGGTCAGGATGTTCTGTGAATGTAGCAGATGAAGCAGGAGGTCTAGCTAGTGGGTTATAACAATGAAGAGATGAAGCTAGGAGGTATGAAGCTCAAAAGGAAGAGAGTTTTGTTTTTTTCAAGGAGAAGGAATAGTGAATTGGAAACGGGAGTCGGCAGCAAGCAGTATGTAACCTAGTCTCTGTGCTCTGTGATACCTAGGGCCTCGATCAGAGCGCCAGAGACAGTGACGTGCCTGTGGGAGGCAAGGCAAGGCAAGGAAATGGAAGAAACATTTAGGGAGGTGACTAGGGTTTCTAAGATATTATTGTGGGATGGTGGCCCTGAGTGCAAAGGGAGAAGTTGAGAGAGAAAGGAGTAGGGAAGGATGGGAGAGACAGATTTGCGAATGAGGAGGGTATGAGCCCAGAGTGAGGAGCAGGATGTCAGGAATAACAACGGCTGACATGGATGCAGAACTTGCTGGCTGTGTGCTGGGCACCATGCTTGTTCTGTATACCTGGGGACTCGCCTGATCCCTCATTCCCTTGATACCTGTTGATTCCATCCTGTTAACCAAGTAGCATGTCAGGGGCTGGGGATATAAAGAGACACAGTCTCAAGTCTTAGAGTACTTGCAGGCTAGCATGGGAGGAAGACACCAGCCCTAACCGGTTTGGCTCAGTGGATAGAGCGTTGGCCTATGGACTGAAGGGTCCCGGGTTCGATTCCAGTCAAGGGCATGTTGCGGGCACATCCCCAGTGGGTGATGTGCAGGAGGCAGCTGATCGATGTTTCTCACTCATCGATGTTTCCACTTCTCTATTCCTCTCCCTTCCTCTCTGTAGAAAATCAATAAAATATATTTTTTAAAAGAGATACCAGCCACATCAGTTCCAAATGGGGTGTGATGCCTGCCGCGGCAGGAGAGGGCAGCATGCTTGGAGAATGTAGGCCAGGCAGGAGGCACAGATGCATGGTCTGTCTGCATGGATTCAAGTTCTGGGATCCACTTACGGAGTTTTGGCAAGGGAGGCCAGGACGGTGGCCTTTGGGCTGAGGTCCACAAGCCTCAGACCCATGTGGTTCTGTTTGGAGAACCTGCATCAGCGGCCTGTCTTCATGGCACTGGGTCAGTCAGGAAAACAACTCTCCATGGTCAACAGCAGCAGGAGAGATTTAGTCCTTGAAATATGTGATAGGGTGAGAGTTACCCTAAAACTCATGCCTTCGCAGGATTTTCAAGGATTGTTTTCATCACTGACTTTTAGGTGCTGATGATTCAAACTTGAGCTTTCTATTTGGAACTTAGGAAAACTGGTGCACTAGGGCAGCAGGAGAGGAGTGAGAACCCACCCTGAGTGTTCCCCATGGGTCCCCAGTGAAATTAAATGAGGGCGCACCCTGGAAGAGGGTGATCCCTTTGGAAGGGATGATTGGAAAACTCAAAGTGCTTAATCTGTCAGTCTTGAGGAGTTTCATGACCCCACATCCAGGGGCTCAGCACAGGTCATCAACCACCCTGTCCTCATTGGCAGAGGGCATTGGTGCTCCCGGTCAAGCAACTTGATAGCACATATCTGTTTTAATTAAACTTAATGATATTTAAGCTAAGAAAGAGTGCTATTCTATATTATTCATAACATGTTGGGCCATCTTTGAATTCCTGTTTTTTTCTGCAGCCTCATGGTGCAGAAGAAAGATAGTAGACTTGGATTCAGGAGGCCTACTTGGTAGTCTCAGCTCTGGACCTGTGAGCCTTCTGACCTATTTTGCATCTCTCAGTCACGCTAATCCTGACTTCTTTATCTCTAAAATGAGGGCAAATAGTGCCACCTCCAAACACTGATGTGAGGATTAAAAGCGATAATGCACAGTACCTGGAACAGAACAAGTGCCCAATTCATGTTTCCTGTTGGTATTCATGTTTATTATTGTAGTACCTATAGCCATTATTATTATTATAATTATTATTTCTGGTATATTAGAAATTAAAATGATATCTTTAATATAAGAGGTTGACATATCTGTCTTCTCTATCTCTCCCCTTCTTCTCTCTCCCTCTCCTACACCCTTTCCCTCTCTTTCCCTTTCTCAACAGACAAGAACTAGGCACTTTATAAAACAGTTGCAGTTCACCAACTGGCCAGACCACGGCACTCCTGCGCCACCAGAGTGTTTCATACAGTATGTCCGCTATGTGAGGAGCAGCCACCTGACAGGACCCATCGTGGTTCACTGCAGCGCAGGCGTGGGCCGGACCGGGGTGTTCATCTGTATGGATGTGGTGTTCTGCGCCATTGAAAAGAACTTTGCAGTAAGTGTGGGAATTAAGTAGATAAACCCATATCAGTAAAACTCTACTTTCAACAGTCTTCCAACAGCTGTTGTTTAGTTAGTTATTAAGAGCAACTTAGTTACTAGGAGCAACTTAGTAAAGAGACATGAGCTTTGGGAACCTGCTCCTTAACTGCTGCAGGTTCCTGGAGGTGGTGAGGACTGAAGTACATAATGAAACGAATGGCCTCGAACATAGTACCTACACACTGAGTGTGAGTTCGTCTTCCTTCCTCTGCCTTCCACCCCCAGGGGCCTCTTCCCGGCCTTGTTGGAGAAGATTGGTGGCATGTGCCTGTTTTGAATGTACAGAACGACATGCATGTAGGACATTGAAAACAACGCAGACTTCAGAGCGATTGAGAGGCTCGGAGTGTGACTGCCAGTTTTGCCACATACTGTAGACTTTTGGCGACTTTGTGCAAATTGTTCATCCTCTCTGCAACCCAGTTTGCTCATATATAAAATATGGATAACAATATTGTTGGATTTGAGTTATTCATTAGCAATTCTTTACTTTCCTCTTAATTTAGACATGTGGTGATTATACTATTGCCTTTATTATTGGTTACGCTGATGGGGGAATGTGACTTTAGATCTGTGGCCAAACAGGCTACTTGCTGAGCGTTCTGTGCTGCAGCAGTGAGGGTGGGCGTGCGTGCACTGAGCAGGCGGGGCTCTGACCACAGTCAAGCCCAGGAGTGTGACCCTGTGGCTTAGTCCAGGCAGACAGGCTGTGGGCGTGCCTGGCAGACAGCGCTGCAGTCAGGCTGTTGTCGGAACAGGCCTCAGACTCTCCTCCTCAGACTCTGGGCAGTTGTACTCGACAGTGACAGCAGATGCCGCTTGGGCCCTGGACCTCAGGGTGCATGATGTGGGAGGACAGGAAAATGGCCTCTCCGGTCACTCCTGAAGGAGGGGCAAGCAATTTTCCATCTTTTCAGAATCTTGAGCCCCGTATCTCCTAGCATTTCACTGTTTCCGATTGAGTTCCTATTGAGGCTGCCCCTTCCCTGAACTAGTCCCTGTGGGAGATGCTGGTTAGTGTAGGCCAGTCAGGGCTGCTCCAGGCCTTAACGGTTGAGAAGAGGAGAGGAATGATTTTCCAGAGTAAACTTAGGGCTTTATCACATAGAAAGAATATAAACTGGCTGGACCCCAAAAAGACAAATGTTCTAAAAAATGCTAAGTGTGTCTGATGTTACCTTTTGTCCTGTTAGCAGAAAATGCATTAGTATAATTTTTCTTTTATATATTTTTCATCATAATTTCTTAAGTAGTTTGTTTATATTTACCTTTATTTTATATCCCTTGTAGAAAATGTAAAACTGTAAATATTCTATTTCATAACCCTAAGGAGCACTGTCTTTTTCCCACATTGTACCTTCTTTAGATCCTAAATGTGTTTTATAATGTCATCTGTTTAATTGACAGTGTGTATAAATGATGCATTTTACAATCATGAATGCCTTAGATTTGATGAAATATAGTGGTTCAAAAATAAGAAATACACTATTTTTTCCTTATTGGTTTTCCATAAAGCCTTGAGCTGTCACATATTCGTACTGATGCCCCTCTCTACTCTTCAGAAATGCTTTCCACCAGAGCTCTGGGAGGTGTAGCCTTGGACCAGCATCAGTCTGTGGATGTTTGATATCTGCAGAAATTTCTTTATAGGATTGAGAGGAAGCTTTTAGAAGCACTCAGGGCAGTTTGGTGCATTGCTATATGGTCTAGAACCGTGGTTGACAAACTGTGGTTCGTGAGCCACATGCGGCTCTTTGGCCCCTTGAGTGTGGCTCTTTCTAAGCCTTAGGAGTACCCTAATTAAGTTAATAACAATGTACCTACCTATATAGTTTAAGTTTAAAAAATTTGGCTCTCAGAAGAAATTTCAATCGTTGTACTGTTGATATTTGGCTCTGTTGACTAATGAGTTTGCCGACCACTGGGAAGGATGAGCAGCGTGCTGGTCGCGTTAGCAGCTGCAGACCATGTGCGTGCTGGGAATTCGCATGGGGAGGCTTACATGTTGCAAGCTGCATACAGCCACATGTGGCTGGACAAGTGTGACCTCTGACATTTAGGATTAACGTACTATAATGTTAAAGGATATGAACATCTGAGAATATGTAACCATCTATTTCTTTTCATTAATTGTTATTTGTAGAGCAATTTTCATAGTTAATCAAGCCTGCTTACAATCCCTGAAACTCTGGAGACACTTAGGTTGCTCTGAGTTCAGACATTCTGCACACAGCTTTCCCTCGCACACCTGCAGCAGTAGCAGCCGCTCACGGGCAGTCACCAGCTATCACATAGAAAAGTGAGTAGTCCAAATTTTTACTGCATCACTAAGCACACAGTTTAGATCATCCAGCAGGTGTTTTTTTTTTTTTAATTTTATTTTTTTTATTGAAACTGTCTTGATGAAGCAGTGTGCTGATTTGCCTTCTGGCATAAATTCCTTAATCTGTGTCACTACCTTCGACTATTTTATGGTCATTGCAGCTCTACTACCAGAACATAATCCTTCACAAAACTTACACTCTGAGCAACAGTTGTTGACGATGTTGTACGTTGCATTTTTATACAGTGTAGAGCTGTATAATTGTGTTTGTCAGCAATCAAACTGAGAAAAGAGACTTCTTCTTTCATGTCTCATCATGTTCAAATCACACATATACTGAAAGAATTACTGTGTAAGCAATATCTATGTGTTTATTAAGTTACAGTGGTAAATAATTTGCTACTTCTGTTTCATGAATTAGTACCACTTCCATCATTAATCAGTCCCTGATCTTGTTAAGCTGTGGTGTCATTAGAAAATGGTACTTTAACTTTTCTGCCACATACAGTGGTAGGCAAAAGTAGGTTAATACTAATAAATAATAATACGGTGATTAATAAATAATAACACACATGTGGTTTTAGCAATTCACAATGAATAATGGCTGTAAAACTCCTTAAAGTATGTAAGGAATTATAATTCCAGGTAAAATTACTATGAGCTTTTTTGGCCTTTGTTTCTCTGCATCACTTCCCTGATCCTCATGTGGTCAGTCACTGAAGCTCCATTCAGAAAGCTGTGCTTTCCCTGACAGCCCAGTCCAGAAGCTTGTTCTGCCATCAGTAAACTTAGGTTAAATAAATACAAATTCATTTTCACAATTAATCTAACCTTAAATTATAAATTTTAAAAACCCCACAGGATTTCATGCTGTTGGTGCCAAGTGTAAGTACTCATCAGCCTAGGTCCCAAAGAAGTTTTTTTCTGCTGTGTTCTCAAAGTTCTATAGTTTTATGTTTTACATTTAAGTCCATAATCTATTTGGGGTTAATTTTTTGTATAAGGTGGAGGTTTAGATCGAGGTTGACTTTCTTTCTTTCTTTTTATTGTTGCCCTATAGATGTTCAATTATTCTAGCACTAGAGGCCTGGTGCATGAAATTTGTGCATGGGTGGAGTCCCTGGGCGTGGCTGGCAATCAGGGCTGATTGGAGAATGGCTGATTGAGGCCTGCAGGCCGGGGTGGGGGGAGGAGGAGGGAGGGACTGCGGGAGGTTGGCCAGGTGACCAGGGGGGAGGGACTGCGGGAGGTTGGCTAGCTGCAGGAGGTTGGCTGTGGGAGCACACTGACCACCAGGGGGAAGTTCCTGCATTGAGTGTCTGTCCCCTGGTGGTCAGTGCGCAGCATAGCAACTGGTCAACTGGTCATTCCAGTCGTTTCGGTTGTTTGGTTGTAATGGATATATATATATATATATACTAATAAAAGAGAAACATGGTAATTGGTGTACGACCGCTACCCTTTTCATTGGCTAACCAGCAAGATATGCAAATTAACTGTCAGCCAAGATGGCAGCCGGCAGCCAGGCAGCTTGAAACTAACATGAGGCTTGCTTGCCTCAGTGACGGAGGAGGATCGTTGGAGGAAACCAACGTTCCCCGCCTGCGGCTGCAGGCCTCTGAGCCGGCAGTTTAAGAAACATTATAACAAATACCGCCGGACTTCAGCAAGCAGATTCGCAACATTGTATGCAAAGGCCAGAAACCTACTTTCAGCAGCAGAGGCCTAAGAGCTGGAGCCAAGCCTCAAGCTAAAGCTAGCCCAGAAAAAAAAAAAAGGAAAAAAGGAGCGTTTGGGAGTTCAGTCACCCCCAGCCCTCAGCCCCTCACCCAGACTGGCCAGGCACCCCAGTGGGGACCCCTACCCTGAAGGGTGTGTGACCAGCTGCAAACAGCCATCATCCCCTCGCCCAGGCTGGCCAGGCACCCCAGTAGGGACCCCCACCCTGATCCAGGACACCCTTCAGGGCAAACCAGCCAGCCCCACCCATGCACCAGGCCTCTACCTTATATAGTAAAAGGGTAATATGCCTCCCAGCACCGGGATCAGCGGAGCCGCGAGGCCTCCTAGCACCGGGATCAGCATGACAGGGGGCAGCGTCCAAACACCCTGATCGGCCTTGCTCTGTGTGTGACAGGGTGCGGCACCCCAACCCCCCTGCCCCCCTCAGGCCCTGCTCTGTGTGTGATGGGGTAGAGCCATAACCTCCCCATCGGCCCTGCCCTGAGTGTGAGAGTGGCGGCGCCCCAACCCCCTGATCGGCCCTGCTCTGTGGGTGATAGAGGGCGGCGCCCCAACCCACTGATCCGCCCTGCTCTGTGTGTGACAGGGGACGGTGCCCCAACTCCCCTATCGGACCTACTCTGTGAGTGACAGGGGGGAGCTCCTCAACCCCCTGATGGGCCCTGCTCTGTGCATGACAGGGTATGGAGCCCCAACCCCCCGGATTGGCCCTGCTCTGTGCGTGACAGGGGGTCGCGCCACAACCTCCCCATCGACCCTGCCTTGAGTGTGACGGGGTGGTGCCCCAACCCCCCAATTGGCCCTTCTCTGAGCCCGACCAGGGGCTACACCTAGGGATTGGGCCTGCCCTCTGCCACCCGGGAGCAGGCCTAAGCCAGCAGGTCGTTATCTCCCGAGGGGTCCCAGACTGCTAGAGGGCACAGGCCGAGCTGAGGGACCCCCCCTTCCCCCCAAGTGCACAAATTTTTGTGCACCGGGCCTCTAGTGTATATGTATATAAAAAACAGTATACCGATTCTGGAAAATAATGCTATAGTTTCTTTAAAACTTTAAACTAAACTTAACCACATAACCCCAACAATAGCACTCTTGGTTAATTATCCCAGGGAAATGAAAACTCATATTCACACAAAAAGCTGTACACAAATGTTCACTGCAGATTTATTCATAACAGCCCCAAACTGGAAACAACCTGGATGTCCTTCAGCAAGTTGATGGTTAAAAACCTGGTACATTTCCAGACCCTAGAATACTATTTAGCAACAAGAAGGAAAGATCTGTTAATATGAAAAACAATTTTGATGAATCAACTAAGATGCATGAAAAAAGTCCTTTTCAAAAGGTTAGATATTTCATTATTCCATTCATATAATCCTTTTGAAGCAAACTACAGAGATGGAGAACAGATTCCCTGGTTGCCAAGGGTGAGGGGTTGTGGTAGATGGTAGTTATAACAGATAGCATAAGGAAATCTGGTGGTGTAATGGTCAGGGCTCTTGATTGTGGTTGCAGTTACATGAATTTTTATATGTGATAATGTTGCACAGAACCAAAAATACACAAACACACACTCACAAATGATCGCATATAAAACTGGCAAAATCTGAATAAGCTTTGTGGGTTGTACCAATGTCAGTTTTCTGCTTCTGATGTTATACTGCCACTATCTTGGATGTTATAATTTGGGGAAACTGGGTGAAGGATACACAGGATTTCTTGATACGTATTTTTGGCAACCTACTTTGCATATATAATTATTTCAATATAAAAATTTTAAGGCTAAATTAGATTTAAAATTATTATAAAAATGACATGTTATAAAGGTAAAGGAATGCTTATATTCTCTGATTTTTACATACTTTTGGGTTATGGTTGAGAAATCTTAAAATTTTCAGGTGTCAACATGGTCTTACAGCACATGGCTGGTCCTCAGCTTGCACCAAATGTGACTTCAGGAAAATTGAGCAGCGCCTTAGCTGGTCTGTGCACTGTTCCGCTGATGACACCTCTTAGCCTGTGCCAGTGGCAGACTGCCCTAAGAGTTTTTAAAACGTACTGCTCATTTCTGGACTGATCGCATTGTGGCCCAGCAACAGCCCTTTGCAGGCTGCCCCAGGCAGCGACTACTCTGGGCAGAGCAGCTCTCCATGCACACGTGTAGAATCTGGCGTCGGGCCGGCTGTTGCTCAGGGTCTCCGTTTGAGTCAAGAGGACTTTCTTTATGAGAAACAGCTGTGCTATTCTTGTGGCCAGAACAAGTCTTCTATGCATCAGACTTTACTAGAGTTATAGTGCCGCTTTAAGGTCTCTCTTTGGAGAACAGAAAGTATACACGGGAAAATTTGTTGTTATTTCTTTTGGAGAGCATTTCTTGTTATTTGATTGCTTCCTGCTTTTTCCTGGATACAAGTGTTGCTTATCCATTAGACTAGGTTAAAATAGTGCAATTTCTTATGACTGAAAATGAGACCTTTCTGGTTAAATCTTGGCATCTTTTTTACTAGAAAGCAGTTTGAGTACTCATTTGGCAATTGTGGGTTTATGTTTCGCTCTATATGGATAACGTAGAATTACTGTCATCCTGTTGCAGTTCAACATCAAAGATATCGTGGCCCAAATGAGAGCACAACGTTATGGCATGGTTCAAACAAAGGTAAGCTCTCATGTCATAATTCTAATTGGAAGAATAATGAATATAGAGATTCACTGTATAGATTATTACAATTTATAGAGCTCTTTTCACCTACATGAGCTCACTGAGTTCTCACTTTTGAGGTAGACATTACTGATGCAGACCTTCAAGTTCAGAACAATGCAGTCTTTTCCATGAAGTAACTTCATTCTGATAGCGAACGGAAGAGCTGAGAATGAGGCCAAGTCTCCCCGTGTCCACACGCAAGCTTCGTTAGAGAAACATGTCTCCATGAATTTGCATAAATTTATGGATAGCAATTCTGGGATATTTACTTGCCATTAAAATATTAATCTCATTAGTCATGATAGTCATAAAACTATCATTTCATTCACAGGTTAATTATTAGTCATTTTGGGGGGTTAAGAGAATATGGATAATGAAAATAGGTACCCCCGAATCTTCAGGCTGACCTGTTTTTAGGCCAACATTGAGTAATATGGAGCATTTTATTTGAACTATTGTTGTCTGAGAGACTGGAGGCTATATCTAAAAAAAGTTTAAAATGTGATTCATCCAAGGAAAACATAAGCAGAATGAGTTTGAGAGTTAGTTTCCCCTCTATTCAGTTAAGCCCTTAGTTCTAGACCAAGAACTATATTGTGATCATTTATGTTTCTGATATTTTAAAAAATATATTTATGTATAGAAGTTCTTAGTTAAATGTGTGCTCTTTAGGAACTTTTTCTGTGGCTGAAAATTACAAATGTGTTCTCTGAAAGTGGATATTGGTATTCAGTTACTTAACGGTCTGTTGTTTATATGTCTACAGGAGCAGTATTGGTTTTGTTATAAAATTGTGCTTGAAGTTCTTCGGAAGCTTGCGACTTTGGATTTAGAAAGACTGAAGTTGCATCACACTTGACATACCAGGTGGCCTGGAGCTTCCTCAGACAGAGCATGACAGGTTGTGCTGAAGGAAGGGCTCTGCTGTGTGCACAGTGTGCTCTCTTGGTGTATCATTTGATTTCCTTTCTGACAACTCCTGAAGGCAGCATTCTTTGGTTTGGGGTGAATAGTGTCTACCCACTGATTTTACTTAGATAATATCAAAATACCCTCCCACATTTTCCAATGAAATAAAAGTTTCTTAAAACAACTGCAGCCTATTTGGTTGAAGGGATTACAGAGCCCAATAAAGGACTTAAACTATATTCATTACGATTTTATCTGGAAAGATAGCTAAAGGGAGCTGAGGATTTCCCAGACCTTAGGAAGCCCTGATTCTGGGAGGACCTAGAACCAGTAAACTGACTAATTACAGGCATTTTCAAGACAGATATTTATCCATGGTTATTAGCTAGAATCTATACTATTAGCTGGCATTTGAATAACTCAGTTCACTGAAGATTCCTATTAGGATGGTTTAATGTGTTATGCAAATTGGACTCCATTTTTCTGTACCTCCAAGTCCCATGGAGCCCCAGGGAGCTCAGAGGACCAGCTGCCCTTCTAGAACCACTAGACAAAGACCTGTTGGTGTGGGGAGCTTTTTGTGGGTGGGCAGACTTCCTTCCTCCACCACATGAGCACACTGAGGAACAGTCCAAAACTAAAATAGCTGTTTATAGAGAAGGTCCAAGAGGAAACTTTTGCCTGGCTTGAGTTCTTTCCTATCCCACCCTAACACTTAACATATTACTCAGTCTGCTTTGTTGAAAGCAAATATTACATTCTACTTGGTTTTTAGTTTTTGCCCTTTAGCTAACTAATAGACTTTGATATAAGCATTATTATGTAATTTTGAATCTCTTATGCCAGATGTATTTTTCAAACTAAGATCTAGGAGAGTTATTTTTTCTTCAGAGTTCTATTAAATCATTTATTTTTATTCCCCCCCCCCCCCACCTCTGCTGTAACATTTAGAAACTGGCTTTGGGAACCAAATTTTGGAAAACCAAATTCATAAAATGAAAACTTCCATATTCTGTTTTTGAAAAGATTGTGGCCATTATTACATTCATCTTATTATAGGACTTTGCCTCATACAATTACAGTGATAATTTTATCAAAGAATTTTAGTGACCAGTTAGATTTTATCTTAAGCTATAAAGCACTTGAATATACATCTTTGTAAAGTGTAATTCAGTAAAGATCAGAATATTCTATGTATTATATTAAGAAAATTTCTAATATTAAGCTGTAGATCTTGAATTTTTAAGAGGCTTATATTGTTCCCTTGGCTGAATGAATACTTGAATTGGATGAATTAAAATGATCATTCTCATTTTAAAAATAATTAATTATATGCCAGAAATCTATTTTCTACTAAGTCAAATAGATGATTCTACCTATTTACATTGTTCATATAAATAGTCTATGCTAAACATTAATTTTGATGATTGGCCTTTAATATTTCTATTCCTAATCTATCTCTCTGTTTTTATAAAATAATAGACAACAATATTCCTGAGGATTTCATGCTATCTAAATGGAAATATTTACTATGTATTGTCTCTTGCATTTTTATTACTTGTGCCTTATAATATTCTTGTAAAGAAAAACTCAATTTTTGACTTTTTTTAAAAAATATATTTTATTGATTTCTTACAGAGAGGAAGGGAGAGAGATAGAGAGTTAGAAACATCGATCAGCTGCCTCCTGCACACCTCCTGGGGATGTGCCCGCAACCCAGGTACATGCCCTTGACCGGAATCGAACCTGGGACCTTTCAGTCTGCAGGCCGACGCTCTATCCACTGAGCCAAACCGGTTTTGGCGACTTGTTTTTCTTTAATGTGTGCCTTATATTTTTATAGCTGGACTAATTTTTCATTTGTCAGGGAAGTTAAATAAGTAAATATGAGAAGACGGATTGTATTTGTTTTGATTTTATTTTTGGGAAGTGAATTTCAAATTGAAAACTTTTGACTAATTGAAATACTAAGTTTCATAAAACAACAAATCAATTTTTGCCTATGATATGAATATGAAACTCTCATTGACATCTTTGTGAGTATATGAATGCTTATTTGGGAAAAATTAAAAAATATTTAAATATAATCATATATGCATTTATTACCTTTCAACTTTAAATACATATTTAAAAAGTTTTATGTGCTTGATGGACTTACGTGTTAGACCAAATCTTCTCAGATATAAACATTGTAGGCTTTTTTTTCATATAAGTCTTAGTAATTTATTTTTCTTTTTCCCACCATGTATTATTTATTCATTCTGGTTTTCTCTTTTCTCCTTCCATTCTTTCTTCCTTTCTCCCTCTGCACCTTCCTTCCTTTTAAAAAATCTTTATTGTTGAGATTATTGCAGATGTCTCTGGCCTCTCCTCCCCATTGCCTCCCTCCGCCAGGATCCTACCCCACCTCAGGCCTTCACCACCCTATTGTCTATTTCCCTGGGTTATGCACATAAGTTATTTACTTAATCTCTTTCCACCTTCCTTAACCCTTGCTTTCTGAGTTTCTTCAGTCTGTTCCATGATTCATGCCTCTGATTCTATTTTATTCATTAGTTTATTTTTTCATTAGAAGAATCCTTGTTCATTTATTTTGGTTTTTAGACTCAATTGTTGATAGATATGTATTGTCATTTTATTGTTCATATTATTTATCTTTTCCTTCTTCTTAAAGAAGATCCTTTAACATTTCTTGTAATGCTGGTTTACTGGTGATACACACCTTAGCTTTTTCTTGTCTGGGAAGCTCTTTATCTGAACTTCAATTCTAAATGATAGCTTTGCTGGGTAGAGTAATCTTTATTGTAGATCCTTGCTTTTCATCACTTTGAATATTTCTTGTCACTCTTTTCTGGCCTGCAAAGTTTCTTTTGAGAAATTAGCTGACAGTAGTTACCTACCTCTGTTGTAAGTAACTAACTGCTTTTCTCTTCCTGCTTTTAAAATTTTCTCTTGGTCTTTAACCCTTAGCATTTTAATTACGATGTGTCTTGGATGAGCTCCTTTGGGGCCATCTTGTTTGGGACTCTCTGTGCTTTGTGGATTTGTATGTCTAAAATTTAGGGGAAGTTTTCTGTCATTATTTTTTCAAATAGGTTTTCAATTTCTTCCTCCTGTTCACAACCCTGAAGGAAACAGGAACCTGAGTGTCACAAACACAAAGCCCAAGATTCTACTGAGCCTGAAGGAGCCCTAGATGGGCATGCAGCAGGCTGGCCACAATTTTAGCCTGGTGAGACCCCGGGCAGAGGACCCAGCCAGCCGTGCCTGGATCCTGACTCAGGAAACTGTGAGATGAGACATTTCTATTGTTTTAATCCACTAACCTTGTGGCATTTTGTTACATTGCACTTAAGTATAAAAGACCAATTACCAACTACCAAAAACACTTAAATTTTTTTTTATTGGATTATATCATTCTTACCCATTTTTAAATAATTATATTAATGAGGTAGATATAATCATTTGCATATTATAATTTATCCCTTTTAACTCTTTTACATGTATATATTTATTAAAAAAACATTATATAAATCTATATATATATATTTTTATATATAAATATAAATATAAAATACCATTATGTCAGTAATTCTCTAAGCATTGATATCTCAAACATGTTTTCTAGTAGATTCCCTTGGAAGGCTTCTTGGAAATAGTTTTCTCTGACCTCTTGCATGTTGAAATTCATCTGCACCCTCTGTACATCATGATACGTTTTACTAGATATTAAATACTTGAATCATATTTTCTTTCCTTGAAAATCTTGAATATATTACTCCTATTTTCTGTCATAAAGTGTTATTGTAAAAAAGCATGATAATAACCTGATTTTATTTTCTTCACACTCTTTGTATAGATGCCAAAGGATATTTTTCTTTTCAAACTTCACTAATTTTACTAAAAATAAATTCTTGGTATTGCCTTTGCGGGTAGTTCAGTTGATTGGAATATCATTCTCAGGAATATTGAGAAAGAAGAGCAAAGTTGTAGATAACATGCTACTGATAACAGACTATATTACAAGCCTATGGGAATCAAAACAGTACTGGCATAAGAACAGGCACATAGAACAATGGAACAGAGCAAAGACCCCACAAATCAAACCACATCATTATGGTCAATTAATATTTGACAAAGGAGCCAAGACATATGAAGTAAAGACAGTCTCTTCAATATATGATGTCGGGGAAATTGGACCGGTACATGCAAAAAAATGAAACTAGATCACCAACTTACATCACACATAATAATAAACTCAAAATGGATAAAAGACTTAAATGTTAAGTTGCAAAAACATAAAAATCCTAGAAAAAACAGGCAGTAAAATATCAGACATCTCGCATAGCAGTATTTTTTGCCAGTATATTTCCTAGGCCAAGGAAACAAAAAATAAACAAATGGGACTATGTCAAACTAAAAAGCTCTGCACAGCAAAAGAAACCATCAACAAAATGAAAAGAAATCCACCATATAGGAGAACATATTTGCCAATGATACATCTAAAAAGGGGCAAATTTCCAAGATATATAAAGAACTTATACAACTCAACAAAAGGTAGACAGTCCAATAAAAAGTAGGCAAAGGACCTGAATAGAAACATTTGGTTGGCCAATAGATATATGAAAAAATTGCTCACGTCACTAATCAATCAGAGAGATGCAAATTAAAACTACAATGAGGTATCACCCCACACCTGCCAGAAGGCTACCACCAATAAATCAACAAACAAGTGCTAGTGAGGATGTGGAGAAAGCGGTACCCTTGTACACTTTTAGTGGAAATGCTGACTGTTGCAGCCACTGTGGAAAACAGTAAGGAAAACCTCAAAAAATTAAAAATGGAACTGCCTTTTGATCCAGTGATCCCATTTCTGGGAATATATCCAAAACACCAATCAGAGAGAATATATGCACCCCTATGTTCATTGCAGCATTATTTACAAGAGCCAAGATATAGAAACAGCTCAAGTAGCCATCACTAGACACAGTGGAATACTATGCAGCAGTAAAAAAGATGATCTCTTACCCTTTGCAACAGCATGGATGGAGAGTATTAAGCTAAGTGAAATAAACCAGTCAGAGAAAGACAAATACCATATGATCTCACTTTTATGTAGAATCTAATGAACATAATAAACTGATGAACAAAATAGATCCAGAGGCATGCATACATGGAACAAACTAACAGCTGTCAGAGGGGAGGTGGGCATGGGGACTGGATGAAAAAAGGTGAAGGGATTAGCCAAGAAACTTATATACATAACATATACACAGACTACATGTGTGATGGACAGGGGGAAGAGGGTGGCAAGGGCTGGATGGAGATGGGGAAATTGAGGGGAGGAAATGGGGACATCTGTAATAGTGTCTACAATAAAAATACAGTTAAAATTTTTTATTAAAATATTGATATAAAATACATTATAACACTGGCATATTGGTCAAGAGGGATATAAATGTTTTTAAAATATTCTAAGGTCCTTGAATTACTTAAGAAAAGGGTAAATTTATCAATATTAGGTTTTAATAACCTTAAAATGCTTCTTATAATTTCTATTATAGCTGTTCAAAGAACAGTAAAAGAGTGTATAATTTCCACAAAGAGAAGGTAACACATGGGCAGGACAGTAAAGAAAAAGAAACATAAGGAAAGGTACAAATTAAAAGCACATAAAAAGAAAATTGAAGCCCCAAAATATCAGTAATTACAATACATTGTAAGTGGATCAGGTGCTCAAGGTAAATGAAGAATATCAAGAAATCTAAAACAAAAATACAAGAAGGTTGAATATGAAAGAGTCTAAAAATGGATTCCAAAGCTAGCCTAAAGAAAGCTGGTGTGGTATATTACTTTTAGACAAAATGGAATTCAGGCTAAAAGCATCATTAGAGAAGTCCCCTGGAAATATATGACCAGTCTAAATTTGTGTCCACCCAATAAGACTTTAAAATATTTAAGGCATATATACAAATAAAAGAAGCATATAAATAACAATTGAAAAATGTAAAGAAACAAGTACAAAGTAATAGTTGGGGATTTTAACCTATCTCTTTTAGTTATTAACAGAAAGCTCTGACAAAAATCTGTGAGCACAGGGAGAGACAGCCATCCACAAGCCAAGGAGAGAGGCCTCAGAAACCAACCCTGCCGACACCTTGATCTTTGACTTTTGGCTCCAGATATGTGAGAAAATAAGTTTGTTGTTTAAGCCAAATAAAGTAAAATATTAAATAAATAAATAAATAAATAAATAAATAAATAAATAAGTAAGTAAGTAAGTAAATAAATAAATAAATAAATAAATAAAATAATGAGACTACAGGAGAACAACATGTGCCAATTGACCAAAGGGCACATATAGAACACTGCACACACTGCAGAGGGATACTGCAGAGTGTCTCTTTCCAGCTCTCCTGAGACACACCAAAATGCCCACACACTCCAGAATGCCCCCACACACCGAAATGCTCATACTTGGGGCCATAAACAAATTTAAAATTATGTCAAAAATCCTATCTAATAAAAGACAAAAAGGGTAATTGACCATACCTTTGCTACACTTCCCATTGGCTAATCAGGGTGATATGCAAATTAACCACCAACAAAGATGGCAGCCGGCAGCCACGCAGCTGAAGGGAGCAGGAGG